TAATCAAAGAATGGAAGGAGGTTGCAGAGATGATTGTGCAAAATTGATTAATTGGTTAATATAACACAACATAATATTTAAAACAAAATTATTGAAATAAATTAAACAACCCCCCCTAAATAGCATAAAATTGTGCTGAAATTAAGCTAACAAAAGTGAACAACTTAGATTAAAGCTAGTGAACAAGTTTAAGGAAGGGTGGCTAACCCCTCCACTTTTGGGACTTCTAAACCATATTTTTTCCCCTGAAAATAGTCGAAAAACAGCCCCAAAAAAGTATATAAAACAAGAAAAAGAGAGGACAAGAGTAAGAGAAAATTGTACCTTTGAAAGAGAGATAAGCTCTTAATTAACAAACTTGATTCCAACACCCTCAAGCTTCTTTGAAGGAAATGATGAACTCCTTAGTTTACAAACTCCCTCTTGATCACCCTCAATTGTAGGAAGTGTGTTCTCAAATCCTTAGTAGCTATGGAAGTTTGGAAGTATTTTGGCTCAAAATTGAAATGTAAACAAAATTTATCTCCTTTCTCTCTAACTCACTTGAATCATCTCTTATCATCCAAAAAAAAAAAACCTCTCTTATAATCAAAAAAAACAAAACCCCTCTTATAATCAAAAAACAAAACCCCTCCCTGGTGATTACCACCTTCCCCTCTTTATATAGCCAAAAATATAGATATAACACATATCTATATATAATATAATAATATAAAGTACATAAAGATTATATATATATATATATATATTTATATATGTTTGCTGAGATTGATGTCGGCAGCCGAGGGCTGACTGACATCAAACGATTTTTTTATTATTTTATTTTATAATATATATAATATAATATATATAAAATATAAAATTTATACCAATTTATATAAAAACACCAAAAAAATATATGAACAAACACATAAAATTATGCAAAATTTCAAAATACTAAACTAAAGAAATATTTAGTAGTTTAAAACAATTTGGTCATAATGGTAAAGGTTGGGATTCAAGTTCAAATTTTATCTCTCTTACTGAGGATTCTGTGAGAAACATATTCTAATTGTCATCATTGGGTAATCAAAAAAAAGCACCAAAGTCTTAGGGCCGGTCAAAATGGGGTGTCTACAATTGCCCCTCTTTGACAGAACTCGGAGTCATAAAATGACGTGAATGAATGTCAAAGCTTGAAGACGACCCATTTGACGAGGTCGTAAGACTTGGGCAAACAAACAAATGTGCAAACAATTGATTGAACCCGAGGGTTGCCTACATATCCTTTTACAAGGAATTAAACCTGCGTAGTTTAGGGGCAGAATGCAAGTGATATGCACTTGAAAGTTAGACACACACGCTTCGCAAAGCCGGCTATTTGAAAACTTATGATCCTGTAATGAAGATGCAAAGTAATAACAGATGCAATATATGAATGAGCAGCTTCAAGCTTAAAATCAATACATCTAGAACATATTCTAACCACCCCAAAACGCGGGACGAGGAAAGAAAACACCGCTTAGGATTGCGTTTCACGCATCCAAAGAAATCAAGAAATGAAAACCACTCGAAGTTGCACTCACGCGTACCGAGATAAAGGCAAAACATGCCCAGGCTCGCGGTTCACACGTCCTGAGATATTCTAATCACATTGAGATCGTAAGAAGAGGAGAAAAATTGCTCGGGCTTGCACTTCATGCGTCCCGAGATGAAATATGCCCAGGCTCACGGTTCACGCGTCTTGAGATACTCTAATCACTCTAAAATCGTGAGAAGAGAAGAAAAACTATTCGGGCTTGCGCTTCACGTGTCCCGAGATGAAATATGCCCAGGCTCATGATTCACGCGTCTTGAGAGACAAAAAAAATCGCTCGGGCTCGTGTTTCACACGTCCCGAGATACAACCCACCCAGGGTCACGCTTCACGCGTCCTGGGATATAAGAAAAATCGGTCGGGCTCGTGTTTCACACGTCCCGAGATACAACCCGCCCAAGGCCGCCCTTCACGCGTCCTGAGATACAATAAAAACCGCTCGGGCTCGTGTTTCACATGTCTCGAGATATAACCTGCCCAGGGCCATGCTTCATGCGTTCTGAAATACAAGCTCGGGCTCGTGTTTCAAACGTTTCGAGATACAACCTGCCCAGGGTCGTGCTTCACCCGTCCTGAGATATAAGAAAAACCGCTCAGGCTCGAGTTCCACACGTCCCGAGATACAACCCGCCTAGGGTCGCGCTTCACGCGTCCTGAGATACAAGAAAAATTACTCGGGCTTATGTTTCACACATCCCGAGATACAACCCGCCTAGGGTCACGCTTCACGTCCTGAGATACAAGAAAAACTACTCGGGCTCGTGTTTCACACGTCCTGAGATACAACCCGCCCAGGGCCCCGCTTCACGCGTCCTGAGATACAAGAAAAATCGCTCGGGCTCGTGTTTCACACGTCCCGAGATACAACTCGCCCAGGGCCGCGCTTCATGCGACCTGAGATATAAGAAAAATCGCTCGGGCTCGTGTTTCACATAATTCGAGATACAACCCGCCTAGGGCTGTGCTTCACACGTCCTGAGATACAAGAGAAAGGTACGAGACTGTACCACAATTGTAATGAAAGTGTGCGCTAGATGCACAAAGTGAATGAGTGCGATAGATGCAAGTGCGATAGATGCACAAAATGAATGAGGAAATATGGTGTGAACACCAGGCGCACTTGATGTTTTTTAAATCGAGTGAATCAACAACCTAACATGTCGCACACGAAAGGAGAAAAGATGGGATGATGTGAACAACATGCGCATCTACTGTTTTTAACCGAGGAAACAATCCTAACACGTCTCATTCGATAGGAGAAAATGTGGACTTGAGAAACGCGTCTCACGCTAGAGGAGGAATAGTAAACTGGAGGTCCAAACGCGTCTTACGCAAGAGGAGGAATAGTGAACGAATCCAAACGCGTCTCACGTGAGAGGAGGAATAGTGAATAAATCCAAACGCGTCTCACGCGAGAGGAGAAATAGTAGTGTAACCAATAGACGTGCCCAACCACATCTCATGTAGAAGGGAGGGTTCTAACCGGGGTAAATGTTACATCCTAACACTTTTCACGTGAAAGGAGCAAAGGTGGATTCGAAGTCCAAACACGTCTCACGCGAGTGGAAGAAGGTATGATAGAATGATTTTTTTGCTTACAAGGGGTAATCTCTACATGTAGAAGCCACTAATGCTGCTTTTCTTCTTGATCATATTCACAACTTTCCCTATTCTCCAATGGGGTGACAGACTAGGTTGGTTCAGTATCCAGAATTGAGGCGCATACAAGCTACCTCAACCTATGGGGTTGCCATACAGATTTCAAACCGAGGATACACCTCTGGGTATTTAAACCACACTTTAATCTCGAAAATTCCAAACCTTTGCGTTCTAGGCATCGTCATTCAAACTCTAGTTTCCATCATCACAGTTGGTCTCCTAGGAACTCATTACGAACACAGCCAGGGTAATACATACAAATATTTACATATAAATATGTACAGATATGTACATATGGTATACACATATGCATATACAAACAAAATACAGACAGATATATACGGATATATACACAGACATATACAGTATATATAGAGGTATATACGACACAGACACATATGGATCTATACAAAAACATATACGGACAGATGAAGAATATTCCGCTTGCGGCCGTTAGCACGAAGATGCCGTTACAGAGAAGGCATATTCTGTTTGTTGACGTCTGCACACGTATGCAAAACACGCAAAAAAAAGAAAGGAAAAACACAAAATGCATGGATGTGGGGATACGGGGTTTCGACCCTTTGATCTCAAACTTGGCCTCCGAGTCCTCAACCACTGAGCCACGCCACTCTTGTGACAAGATTTGCAAACAAATATATATATATATATACTTATACGAGACATATATACACAAAATCAAAACAAAACAAAGAAACACTCGATGTGGGGTTCAAACCCCTGGCCTCAGGCTCAGCCTCTCGCTCTTCAACCACTGGGCCAAACCACTGAACCCAAGCCACTCTCGTGACAGAAACAATTCAAACAAATATATATATATAGGTATACAAGACATATATACATAAAACCAAAACAAAAACAAAACAAAGAAACACTTGATGTGGGGTTCAAACCCCTGACCTCAGGCTCAGCCTTTCAATCCTTAACCACTGAGCCAAACCACTGAACCCAAGCCACTCCTGTGACCCAAATGTTCAAACAAATATATATATTACATAGCTATACAATATATATACATATATGCGTACACATACATTCCCACGTCTCTCCCTCTTTTTTTTTTTTTTTTTTTGTAGTTTAAACACTAGCTTCAGATAGACTCATGATCGGGGTTAGACCCATCAGTTTATGAAAGATTTTTTTTTTTTGGATGATGTCCTTGCATAATGTGTGATGAATAGCATGTGATGAATAATAGCATCGTACAGGACTTCAAACTGTGAATACCTGCTCTTGCATTCATTCTTGAATCGGATAACGACCACAACCGAACAAATATGTAAATTACCACTCGATAACAGGAAAACGAAATGAAAACAACTCGAAAATATTGAACGACACTTGGTACAAACGAAACAGTACTTAAAACATAACCGCGATATGCTAGAACAAAGGGCCAGCCTTTGCTGCATCTGTACTGGTCTGGGCCACCACCTAGACCCGGACGGGCCTCAAAAAAAGGTCGGTCAGTGCTGTCTAGCTGTCATGCACTGCTCATTCTAAAACTCAATAAATGGTGTTCCCATGCTGTTTATATTTTGCTCTCAAGATGGAGATGTTGCTCATCAATAGGCTTCGAGACTAGATAGCTACTTTGGATGGCTCGAAAAAGATGAATTTTCGCAATTTCGGCCTCAACGCCCTTTTTTCTTTGAGTCGTACTTCATTTTGCTTTCCATTCCTCCATGCCACAGTTCGATATTGGAACTCGGTCACACATGTATTTCACTTTGAATCACAAGAGATGGGTCCAACACTCAAAGAAGTTCAAGCACTGATGGAATCCCGGTGTGGCAAAGCAATCATGCCTCAACCCCGTTTTGGCAATGCCCAAGATTTGGGACGAAAGTGCAGATTATCAGTGCAGAAGGCTCGGTCTTTGGCATATGATGGGGAACTAGACATCCCAGGTTTAGTTCATCATTTTCCGCTATTGGAGATAGGAGTGACCTTTTTTAGCGCAGTTATTGAAAACATGCTCTCTGTTTATGCCTACTTGAACAATTCCCAATTGCCCCTAGTTATGGCGGAGCCAGTATCCGGTTAATCGAAGTGGCCCAATGCCTGAAAGAAGGTAAGAGTTGTATTGGTTTGGCATTGGCCAAAACCTTGATGGGCCTGGATGCTATTCATCGGCAGGAAACCACCAGGTTTGCAGGGAGTCCGCTACTTCTCCATGTATGATTTCACACCCTTCTAATTTATGATTCTAAAATCACTCAACACTTAAACTCTGTTTTTCTCTCAAAACCCCCTCTCTTTTCTCTCAACATACATCTCTCTATTCTTTAATCTCTCTTAATTTTTATCTTGTCCCAGGTATGGTTAATGGACAAACTGAAAGTAGTAGACCCTTGCCCTGAGTACTTGGCTCGAGCTTACTTTTTTCACCAATAGCTAGTGGATTTCCCGAATGAGGGATGGTAGTACCATTGGATGTGCCACAGGTCTGCTGTTGACATTGCTTGGCGTTGTCCCTGGTTTGATCTACCCGAGGTGAGCTACAGCATGACTCGGTAACCTGGCATTCGGCTGATTGGATTGACACACTATGTGTTCTACTTTTCGTTCCGATTCAGGCGTCAGTTTGGACATGACCAGACTTGCCCAAAAGAGGGGGTAGAGTACCTATTTTCATTCCCAATCCGAGGTTCACAATTGGCTAGATATCCCACTGCGTGGAGGACGAGAGAACTTCTGGCTGCTGCCCCTAGTTTCATCTGTGCCCTTTTCTAGCGAGTGCCTGACTTGGCTCGAAGATGAGGCACAAACAGGGCCCATTTTAGCATCAGAGGCTTCCACAAGCACAAGCAGGGGACACATGAACACCTGACTCATCTATGCCCCTAGTTTATTTGCTTTGATCTTTACTATTCAAGTTTTCTTTTTCATGTAATAAAAGCAACATTGATTTGTATCGAGAGTTTGAGAACTTTGTATTGAAATCACTGAAATTAGAGTTGTGAACACTGAAAATTTTCTTTTTGGTCCAAAAATGGTCTAAGTTGTAAAAAGATTAATTTGAATGTAATCAACTTTTATCAAAACTTTTCAAAACCATTTTCGATAAGGATCAAAACTTGAAACATATGAAATCTATCTTCGAGATGTACAACCCCGAATCCAAAGATGAAAAATTGCCCCTTGATTGAATAACTCTGCTAAGCACTATAACTAGTTCTTTTCTCAGAGTAAGGATCATAACCGAACTTTTAGATAAAGAATAGATGAAGATGACCTGATCAACATATGGATAGGACAGTTGAGTTGGAGGTGTTTACGGCCGGACTTCAGGATGAAGTTGCCTACGTATCTCGAAAATGGGAATCAGACTTTACGTGGTTCGGTTCGGGTTCACTCGAGTATTGACTCTTTCCTTTTACGCTCTAACTTTTGCCAAAGCTGCCTTTTAGGATTTCCAACCTTGCGAGCTCAATTTTTCATAATGTCTAATTTTTTTCAAGCTCTAACTTTTGCCTAGGTCACCTTTTCGAGTTTTCGGCCTAGCGAGCCTCTCAAGGGTAATATTTCTTTAACTTGTCCATGTTGATTGGTTGTGAAAATTCCAGGCCGTCTAGATCCATGAGAATGACTGCTCCTCCTGACCATATAGACTTGATGATGTAGGGACAAGTCCAATTGGGTCTGAACTTGCCCCTAGGGTCATGGATGGGAGCTCGGTTGTCTTTGAGCACCAGATCTCCTTCCTTGAGATTCCTAGACTAACCTTCTTGTTAAAAGCCTTAGCAATTCTGCGTTGGTAGCCCTGGACATGATACAATGCCTTCAGCCTTCTCTCATCAAACAACATTAACTCCTCAAATCTACTCTGTTGCCAGTCGGCCTCTACTATCTGACACTCAGCCATAACCCGCAGTGATGGTACTTCAATTTTAATTGGCAGAACACCTTCCATGCCATAGAAAGATACTGCAGCATCTGAGGTCTTCTAGGCACATTTTTATTTATTTTCTTTTATTATCATCAATTTACAAGACTATGTTGTGGTTGTTATACATTTTTGTATGAAAAATATCATTCAAAGTTGGGCCAATTCTTTGAATTATTGTTTGTTACATGAGGATGGTCTCGCTGATATAATGAATATTTATAATGCTAACTGTGTGGTATCTTTTTAGGTCGACCTATCTCATAGTGCACATGTATTCTGTGACCATCTTGCTATATGAACTAGCAATTAATATATGAATCCATTAAAACAACACGGGCTTTTTGTTTACCAATGACTTGGTTTTTGGGAAAATTTTTGAAACCTACCTGGTTGGCAGTATTGCCATATTCTACATGCACTTTCAGTCTCCTTAACTAGCAACTGTGGTCAATAAGACCGTATAACATCAGTGAGAAAATATGAGAAAATGTGTGTTTGTGTTTATTTATGAAGTCGTGCAGACTGTCAGCTTTATGTTGAAGATAACAATAACTAAACCTTCACATCTTAAAATGTAGAGCTTCTAGCAAATTAAAATTACTATTTTTTTGTTTGATAATAAAGTATTTTAAATATATAAAAAACAGGAAAATGGTTGAGAAATTTATTTTTAGAGGTGTATGAGATTAAGGTAAAGGATTGTTTTGTTTTGATTGGAAATATATATTTAATAAAATTATTTGGTGATAAATAGTAAATTATTATTTTGAAAGGTAATATTTTAATTTGTATTTATCATCCACTGAATTGCTCGTTTGATGATTATCTCAAAATTTTCATTAATAAAAAATTCAATTAGATGTGACAGGCGGTAACTAGTGATGGTAATAATAATATATTAATTAAATAAACAAATCGAAAACATGTGAATAAATATTTAAAAATTATATGATATTTAAATTATTATTATTTTTGTGGTCTCAAAATATTTTAATTTTCTTGCCTTTAGAGTCTTTATCAATATATATATATATATATACAACTTTTACTAGAGACCCCCTAGTAAAGTTCCACCCCCATCACCCCACACACACGTGGGGGTTGGTCATTGGCTCAAAGAAAGAAAGAAAAAAAAAAAAAAATTTGCCCATTCAGAGCCCACTGGGGTCACCCCCAGTACGAGTCTGCCTCTTTTTACAAATATATATATATATACACACTCAAAACCCTCCATTTTCATACCCTAATAACAATCATCTCTCACCACAGTGAATGGCAAGACCTCCACAATCTCTCAAAACCCACTTCCTCTACCACCAAAACCATCGCTCCATCCAAAACCCTAACCCCCAAATCCGAAACCTCGGCCTCAGCAATGGTGGCGAAGAATTTTTTCAGACCCATCAACAACCGAAGAAACAGAGCTTAACCCAGATCGCCAAAGAGGTTTCGAGGGTCATTCGGACTCGACCCAGATGGGAACAAACTCTACTCTCAGATTTTCCCTCAATCAATCACTTCGATCCCAACTTTTTTATTGAGCTTTGGAAGTAGCAAAACAATGTGTTTCTTTCTCTCCGTTTCTATCTTTGGCTAAGCTCTCAACGTAGCTTTGTACCGGATAAATTGGCGTGTGATGTGATTTTTGATGGTCTTGTAGAAGCTAAAGCTGCCAATGCTGCGAAATCGTTTTTGACTTTTGTAGATTTTACTCCTCAACCTGGTTCTTTAAAGGCTTATGTTAGACGTCTGTGTGAAAATGGGTCAATTGAGGAAGCACTGAAGGTGTTTGATGAATTGCAAAAGCTAGGTATTTGCCCGTTGTTAGAAACATGGAATTCGGCTTTGTTGGGTTCGGTTAGAGCTAGGCGAACCGATGTTGTTTGGAAGTTGTATGAAGAAATGATGGGTAGTGGTGATGCAGGAAATGTAGATACAGTTGAGTATTTGATTCAAGCTTTTTGTATTGATAACAATGTTTCGAAAGGTTTTGGGCTTCTTAGGCAAGTTTTGGAAGATGGGTTTGTTCCTAGTAATGTTGCTTTTAATAAATTGATATCTGGATTTTGCAAGGATAGATACTATTCGAGAGTGTCTGCACTCCTTCATGCTATGATTGCAAAGAACCGACGCCCTGATATCTTTACATATCAGGAAATTATCAGAGAGCTATGCAAGAGAAGAATGCGGCATGAAGGATTTCGGATTTTCAATGATTTAAAGGATAGAGGGTATGCTCTGGACAGGGTCATGTATACAACGATGATACATGGTCTTTGCAAAATGAAATGGATTGGGGAGGCTCGGAAGCTTTGGTTTGAGATGGTTCACAAAGGAATAGTTCCAAATGAATACACGTACAATGCATTCATTTATGGGTTATGTAGGATTGGTAATCTCGAAGAGGCGAAGGAGCTATACAATGAAATGTGTTGTAAAGGTTATAAAGAGACCACAGTGAGTTGCAACACTATGATCAGAGGGCTGTGTTTGCATGGAAGAACAGAGGAAGCTCATGTGTTGTTTCAAGAAATGGCTGAGAAGGGAATTGCTCGTGATATTATCACGTACAATTCTTTGATTCAGGGTTTCTGCAAGGAAGGAAAAATAGATGAAAGTATAAATCTTTTGGCTGAACTTTTAGAGAAGGGTTTGCAGCCTTCAGCTGCCACGTATACTGCCTCCTTAGAAAAACTTTGTGAGATGGGTGATGTGGATGAAGCAAAAGAGTTGTGGGAGGATATGCAGAAAAGGGGTGTGGAACCAGCAGTATGTACCCATGATTTCATCATAACTAGATTGAGCAATAAAGGGTATGTAGCCGAGAGGATGGAATGGTTGGCTGCAATGTTGAGACGTAACCTCAAACCGCAAAAGCAAACTTTTGAGAGACTAATTCAATGTCTATCACAATGAGATGAGCTGGATGAGGCTATATTTGTGTTGGATTATATGTTTAGTATAGGTTACACACTCCGTGAATGTATTTTCCGTTCTCTGGTTGATAAACTATGTGAACAGAATTCCAACCATGTTGAGACATGTCTAGGTGGTATTCTGCAGAAAGATACTGCAGCATCTGAGGTCTTCTAGGCACATTTTTATTTATTTTCTTTTATTATCATCAATTTACAGGACTATGTTGTGGTTGTTATACATTTTTGTATGAAAAATATCATTCAAAGTTGTGCCAATTCTTTGCATTATTGTTTGTTACATGAGGATGGTCTCGCTGATATAATGAATATTTATAATGCTAACTGTGTGGTCTCTTTTTAGGTCGACCTATCTCATAGTGCACATGTATTCTGTGACCATCTTGCTATATGAACTAGCAATTATTGTATGAATCTATTAAAACAACACGGGCTTTTTGTTTACCAATGACTTGGGGCTTGTTTGGTTTGTATTTGAGAAACATGTTTTGAGATAGAAAGTACGAAAATTTGTTTGGTTTGGTTTTTTTTCAAAAGATGTTTTGAAAAATTATTTTGAGAGAGAGTTTTGGAAAAAGTGATTGATTTGATGTGTATGAGAGAGAGATTTGTTTGGAAACCATGTAAACCAAACAAGTTTTGGAAAAAAAATTTGGGAAAATTTGTTTGGTTTGATTACTTTTAAAAACTTATTTGTAGAGAATTTTTCCCAAAATTTTTTGAGAAACACAAACCCAACAAGGCCTTGGTTTCTGGAAAATTTTTTTGAAACCTACCTGGCCTAAAGTATTGTCATATTCTACATGCACTTTCAGCTTCCTTAACCAGCAACTGTGGTCAATAAGTCCGTATAACATCACTGAGAAAATATGAGAAAATGTGTGTTTGTGTTTATTTATGAAATCGTGCAGATTGTCAACTTCATGTTGAAGATAACAATAACTAAACCTTCATATCTTAAAAAGTAGAGCTTCTAGCAAAGTAAAATTACTATTTTTTTGTTTGATAATAAAGTATTTTAAATATATAAAAAACAGGAAAATGGTTGAGAAATTTATTTTTAGAGGTGTATGAGATTAAGGTAAAGGTTTGTTTAGTTTTGATTGCAAATATATATTTAATAAAATTGTTTGGTGATAAATAATAAATTATTTTTTTGAAAGGTAATATTTTAATTTGTATTTATCTTCCACTAAATTGCCCGTTTGATGATTATCTCAAAATTGTTATTAATAAGAAATTCAATTAGATGTGACTAACGGTAACTAGTGATGGTAATAATAATATCTTAATTAAATAAACAAATCGAAAACACGTGAATAAATATTTAAGAATAATATGATATTTTAAATTGTTATTATTTTTGTGGTCCCAAAATATTTTAATTTGTTTGCCTTTACAGTGTTTCTTTTACATATATATATATACAACTTTTACTAGAGACCCCCTAGTAAAGTTCCACCCCCATCACCCCACACACACGTGGGGGTTGGTCATTGGCTCAAAGAAAGAAAGAAAAAAAAAAAAAAATTTGCCCATTCAGAGCCCACTGGGGTCACCCCCAGTACGAGTCTGCCTCTTTTTACAAATATATATATATATACACACTCAAAACCCTCCATTTTCATACCCTAATAACAATCATCTCTCACCACAGAGAATGGCAAGACCTCCACTATCTCTCAAAACCCTCTTCCTCTGCCACCAAAACCATCGCTCCATCCAAAACCCTAACCCCCAAAATCCGAAACCTCGGCCTTAGCAATGGCGGCGAAGAATTTCTTCAGACTCATCAAGAGCCGAAGACCCAGAGCTTAACCTAGATCGCCAAAGAGGTTTCAAGGGTCATTCAGACTCAACCTAGATGAGAACAAACTCTACTCTCAGATTTTTCCTCAATCAATCTCTTCGATCTCAACTTTTTTATTGAGCTTTGGAAGCAGCAAAACAATGTGCTTCTTTCTTTCCGTTTCTATCTTTGGCTAAGCTCTCAACGTAGCTTTGTACTGGATAAATTGGCGTGTGATATGATTTTTGATGGTCTTGTAGAAGCTAAAGCTGCCAATGCTGCGAAATCGTTTTTGACTTTTGTAGATTTTACTCCTCAACCTGGTTCTTTAGAGGCTTATGTTAGATGTCTGTGTGAAAATGGGTCAATTTAGAAAGCACTGAAGGTGTTTGATGAATTGCAAAAGCTAGGTATTAGCCCGTTGTTAGAAACATGGAATTCGGCTTTGTTGGGTTCGGTTAGAGCTAGGCGAACCGATGTTGTTTGGAAGTTGTATGAAGAAATGATGGGTAGTGGTGTTGCCGGAGATGTAGATACAGTTGTGTATTTGATTCAAGCTTTTTGTATTGATAACAATGTTTCGAAAGGTTTTGGGCTACTTAGGCAAGTTTTGGAAGATGGGTTTGTTCCTAGTAATGTTGTTTTTAATAAATTGATAATTGGATTTTGCAAGGATAGATACTATTCGAGAGTGTCTGCTCTCCTTCATACTATGATTGCAAAGAACCGACGCCCTGATATCTTTACGTATCAGGAAATTATCAGAGAGCTATGCAAGAGAAGAATGCGGCATGAAGGATTTCAAAGTTTTAATGATTTAAAGGATAGAGGGTATGCTCCAGATAGGGTCATGTACACAACGATGATACATGGTCTTTGCAAGATGAAATGGATTGGGGAGGCTCGAAAGCTTTGGTTTGAGATGGTTTACAAAGGAATAGTTCCAAATGAATACACGTTCAATGCATTCATTTATGGGTTATGTAGGATTGGTAATCTCAAAGAGGCGAAGGAGCTATACAATGAAATGTGTTGTAAAGGTTATAAAGAGACCACAGTGAGTTGCAACACTATGATCAGAGGGCTATGTTTGCATGGAAGAACAGAGAAAGCTCATGTGTTGTTTGAAGAAATGGCTAAGAAGGGAATTGCTCGTGATATTATCACGGACAATTCTTTGATTCAGGGTTTCTGCAAGGAAGGGAAAATAGATGAAAGTATAAATCTTTTGGCTAAACTTTTGGAGAAGGTTTTGCAGCCTTTAGTTGCCACGTATACTGCCCCCATAGAAAAACTTTGTGAGATGGGTGATGTGGATGAAGCAAAAGAGTTGTGGGAGGATATGCAGAAAAGGGGTGTGGAACCAGCAGTATGTACTCATAATTTCACCATAACTGGATTGAGCAATAAAGGGTATGTAGCCGAGGGGATGGAATGGTTGGCTGCAATGTTGAGACGTAACCTCAAACTGCAAAAGCAAACTTTTGAGAGACTAATTCAATGTCTATCACAAGGAGATAAGCTGGATGAGGCTATACTTGTGTTGGATTATATGTTTAGCATAGGTTACATGCTCCGTGAATGTATTTTCCGTTCTCTGGTTGATAAACTATGTGAACAGAATTCCGACCATGTTGAGACATGTCTAGGTGGTATTCTGCAGAAAGATACTGCAGCATCTGAGGTCTTCTAGGCACATTTTTATTTATTTTCTTTTATTATCATCAATTTACAGGACTATGTTGTGGTTGCTATACATTTTTGTATGAAAAATATCATTCAAAGTTGGGCCAATTCTTTGAATTATTGTTTGTTACATGAGGATGGTCTCGCTGATATAATGAATATTTATAATGCTAACTGTGTGGTATCTTTTTAGGTCGACCTATCTCATAGTGCACATGTATTCTCTGACCATCTTGCTATATGAACTAGCAATTATTATATGAATCCATTAAAACAACATGGGCTTTTTGTTTACCAATGACTTGGTTTATGGGAAAATTTTTGAAACCTACCTGGCTGGCAGTATTGTCATATTGTACATGCACTTTCAGTCTCCTTAACTAGCAACTATGGTCAATAAGACCGTATAACATCACTGAGAAAATATGAGAAAATGTGTGTCTGTGTTTATTTATGAAGTCGTGTAGACTGTCAACTTCATGTTGAAGATAACAATAACTAAACCTTCTCATCTTAAAATGTAGAGCTTCTAGCAAATTAAAATTACAATTTTTTTTGTTTGATAATAAAGTATTTTAAATATATAAAAAACAGGAAAATGGTTGAGAAATTTATTTTTAGAGGTGTATGACATTAAGGTAAAGGATTGTTTTTGTTTTGATTAGAATTATATATTTAATAAAATTATTTGGTGATAAATAGTAAATTATTATTTTGAAAGGTAATATTTTAATTTGTATTTATCATCCACTGAATTGTCCGTTTAATGATTATCTCAAAATTGTTATTACTAAACAATTCAATTAGATGTGACTGGCGGTAACTAGTGATGGTAATAATAATATGTTAATTAAATAAACAAATCGAAAACATGTGAATAAATATTTAAAAATAATATGATATTTTAAATTGTTATTATTTTTGTGGTCTCAAAATATTTTAATTTGCTTGCCTGTATAGTCTTTCTTCAATATATATATACAACTTTGCTAGAGACCCCCCAGTAAAGTTCCACCACCATCACCCCACACACATGTGGGGGTTGGTCATTGGCTCAAAGAAGAAAAAAAAAAAAAAAAAAAATTTGCTCGTTCAGAGTCCGCTGGGGTCACCCCCAGTAGGGGTCTGCCACTTTTTCGATATATATATATACACTCAAAACCCTCTATTTTCATACCCTAATAAAAATCATCACTCACCACAGTGAATGGCAAGACCTCCACAATCTCTCAAAACCCTCTTCCTCTGCCACCAAAACCATCGCTCCATCCAAAACCCTAACCCCCAAATCCGAAACCTCAGCCTCAGCAATGGCGGCGAAGAATTTCTTCAGACCCATCAACAGCCGAAGACCCAGAGCTTAACCCAGATCGCCAAAGAAGTTTCGAGGGTCATTCGGACTCAACCCAGATGGGAACAAACTCTACTCTCAGATTTTCTTTCAATCAATCTCTTCGATCCTAACTTTTTTATTGAGCTTTGGAAGCAGCAAAACAATGTGCTTCTTTCTCTCCGTTTCTATCTTTGGCTAAGCTCTCAACGTAGCTTTATACCGGATAAATTGGCGTGTGATGTGATTTTTGATGGTCTTGTAGAAGCTAAAGCTGCCAATGCTGCAAAATCATTTTTCACTTCTGTAGATTTTACTCCTCAACCTGGTTCTTTAAAGGCTTATGTTAGATGTCTGTGTGAAAATGGGTCAATTGAGAAAGCACTGAAGGTGTTTGATGAATTGCAAAAGCTAGTTATTTGCCCGTTGTTAGAAACATGGAATTCGGCTTTGTTGGGTTCGGTTAGATCTAGGCGAACCGATGTTGTTTGGAAGTTGTATGAAGAAATGATGTGTAGTGGTGTTGCAGGAGATGTAGATACAGTTGAGTATTTGATTCAAGCTTTTTGTATTGATAACAATGTTTCGAAAGGTTTTGGGCTACTTAGGCAAGTTTTGGAAGATGGGTTTGTTCCCAGTAATGTTGCTTTTAATAAATTGATATCTGGATTTTGCAAGGATAGATACTATTCGAGAGTGTCTGCTCTCCTTCATACTATGATTGCAAAGAACCGACGCCCTGATATCTTTACGTATTAGGAAATTATCAGAGAGCTATGCAAGAGAAGAATGCGGCATGAAGGATTTCGGATTTTCAATGATTTAAAGGACAGAGGGTATGCTCCGGATAGGGTCATGTACACAACGATGATACATGGTCTTTGCAAGATGAAGTGGATTGGGAGGCTCGAAAGCTTTGGTGTGAGATGGTTCACAAAGGAATAGTTCCAAATGAATACACGTACAATGCATTCATTTATGTGTTATGTAGAATTGGTAATCTCGAAGAGGCGAAGGAGCTATACAATGAAATGTGTTGTAAAGGTTATAAAGAGACCACAGTGAGTTGCAACACTATGATCAGAGGGCTGTGTTTGCATGGAAGAACAGAGAAAGCTCATGTGTTGTTTGAAGAAATGGCTGAGAAGGGAATTGCTCGTGATATTATCACGTACAATTCTTTGAGTCAGGGTTTCTGCAAGGAAGGGAAAATAGATGAAAGTATAAATCTTTGGCTAAACTTTTGGAGAAGGGTTTGCAGCTTTCAGCTGCCACGTATACTGCCCACATAGAAAAACTTTGTGAGATGGGTGATGTGGATGAAGCAAAAGAGTTGTGGGAGGATATGCAGAAAAGGGGTGTGGAACCAGCAGTATGTACCTGTAATTTCATCATAACTAGATTGAGCAATAAAGGGTATGTAGCCGAGGGGATGGAATGGTTGGCTGCAATGTTGAGACGTAACCTCAAACCGCAAAAGCAAACTTTTGAGAGACTAATTCAATGTCTATCACAAGGAGATAAGTTGGATGAGGCTATACTTGTGTTGGATTATATGTTTAATATAGGTTACACGCTCCGTGAATGTATTTTCCATTCTCTGGTTGATAAACTATGTGAACAGAATTCCGACCATGTTGAGACATGTCTAGGTGGTGTTCTGTAGAAAGATACTGCAGCATCTGAAGTCTTCTAGGCACATTTTTATTTATTTTCTTTTATTATCATCAATTTACAGAACTATGTTGTGGTTGTTATACATTTTTGTATGAAAAATATCATTCAAAGTTGTGTCAATTCTTTGCATTATTGTTTGTTACATGAGGATGGTCTCGCTGATATAATGAATATTTATAATGCTAACTGTTTGGTCTCTTTTTAGGTCGACCTATCTCATAGTGCACATGTATTCTGTGACCATCTTGCTATATGAACTAGCAATTATTATATGAATCCATTAAAACAACACGGGCTTTTTGTTTACCAATGACTTGGTTTCTGGGAAAATTTTTGAAACCTACCTGGCTAGCAGTATTGTCATATTCTACATGCACTTTCTGTCTGCTTAACTAGCGACTGTGGTCAATAAGACCATATAACATCACTGAGAAAATATGAGAAAATGTGTGTTTGTGTTTATTTATGAAGTCGTGCAAACTGTCAACTTCATGTTGAAGATAACAATAACTAAACCTTCTCACGCTTCAACTTATAGTCGTCAAGACTTCGAATAAATATTAGATGCAAAGACTTGTTTCAGAATTAACGTTAACAGGGGAAATAAAGCAGGCAGCCGGGTATACTAATAGGCTAACATCATTAGTAATATCTGGGATAGAAGTTTCACTTTCTATTTGAAATGCATTAGCTCTACTGAAGATTTGATTGTTACCAAGGATGCATGACCCCTTTTCGGTTGAGCTAAATAATATACAAAATGCCAAGTCTTCAGGTTTCCATTAATTATTTGGTTGAAATCAAATGACACAAATAGTTGTTGTTGTTTTTATTTCCACTTCTGTTGAAATAAAAAAATTTGGAGAAATGTCTACGTTTAATGCTGTTGTAATGATGTAATCAAAGAGCAGGAATTTGGAGAGTTTCTTCACCGATCAACTGTCCGGTGAATGGCCGGTGAATCACTGATCAAAGAGCAATCAGTCACCAGTTTTACTTGGTTGCTTTATCCATGGCTTTGAAGACGAGATTTTCAGGATCAAGAACCTCCCAAGAAATCTCTGGGGTGTTTGTGTAATTTAACGTGTGTATTTAGGCAAAATAAGGGGTATTTTTATAATTTTAGAAAAATCTAGAGGCGCAACTACTGCATTAATGAGAAATCTCTGGGGCGTTTGTGTACGGGTTCGAGACCTTGAGCACGACGGGGGACATAGAGGAGGGAACACTGTATCCTAGATCTCTACAATTTTACTATTTGTTTGATTTATAAAATTAGGATATTTTCAAAGGATTGAATTTGAATTTTGACTTGGTTATTCTTTGACTTCCTTTTATACTCTTCTTCTTTTTTTCTTTTTTTTTTGGCTTAGTTTTTTCTCTTGATCATTTGGGGTTTGACTTTTTATTTATTTATTTATTATAAAATAGTGTTGTTCTTTGGTTCATAGTTACTTGTTTATTGCTGGTAATTGCTATAGAATAGAAGTATTGGGTTATGTATCTATGTACCATATTACTCTTTTGCATTAGTTAGCTTTGGGATCTGCTAAAGAAAAATGCTCTGTAACCATGATTTTTGCCCCAAAACTTATCCCAAAATGGAGGTGGTGAATGATATAGATTTAAAGTTGGTAGGCCCCAAAACTTATCTCGAAATGGAGGCGGTAAATGATATAGATTTGAAGTTGGTAGGATATGAAGCACTTTTCTGGATAATTTTTATGGGTATGTAGTATTGTTGGCTTAACGATGGGCACAGGATTAGGATTAGTATGGTTGCTGAGGACGTGGCAGTGAGGTAAAGGGGTAAGGGGCTCAAAATTGCCGTGCTGATGACAAGTAACAAACACAACCTCTGTGGTAAAGAATTAAAGTTTTAGGGCACAAAAATTTGGCATTAATGATGAGCAGTCACCATTCACTTCAAAGAATTCTTCTTGGCTTTACATGTCTAGTTTTGAATACTAACATGCAAGTCTCATCAAAATGCAGTGTTGTGGCCTATGTATATCAGCAAAAGCATCCACTGAAATTGATTATTCTTGGACTCTATACCCTGTGTCTGCATCTCACTGTTGGTGTAAGCTGTGCCAATACAGATGGCTGATAGTTTCTTGTAAACTGCTTGAAATCTTAATGGGTGAAATGTTGACTGCATGATGATTGCATGAAACTATTGTGTGATATCTTTTTGCATTGGGAGTTTTTACAGGAAAAATTGTGCTTGAAGCCCTAATATTGACGTCAGATGTGGTAGCCTCCTTGACTAGGTACACTTTTTGATTTTCTAAGGGCATCTCCAACGGTGCATCAATTTTTTCATCAAATTTGAGTAAAAGCTTCCTTTGATATCAAGTGCTCTAATGGAGGGTTTTGTAATTTTATCAAACCACTGGTCAACCGCCTAGTGTAATTTTTCACAAATTTTTGCCTTGAGGTGGTCATCCGAGGAGACATCTAGCAGTGGAAATCTAACAGTAATGAACAGTGATTTGATGAAAGGCACATTGATCCTCAGTTTGATGAAAGAAAAGTGAAATCCTGGGTTTGATACGTATTTGATGAAACTATTGGAGTAGGAAAAGAAGCTATTTTTCATCAAATTTAAATTTGATGATAGTTTTGAGTAACCATTGGAGATGATCTAAGAAGGGCAAAGACTTCAGCTATCTCGAACCAATCTTGTTCACCTCTCTATTTACTCTCTTCTTGGCTGGTTTTATCCAGGTTAAATTGATCTTCTTTTGAAGTTATATTGCCACGCAAATTTTCAATATTCACAATTATATGAAAATATGTCTATGCTTATTGATTTTGTACTTGACCTGGTTGGTCTTATGCTATTATGCTGATATTCTTTCCACTCGGTTCCACCTCTGTTGCGGTTTATAGTGGAATCAGCGCTGTAATTTTCTCAGGATATATTATTTATAACACAAATAACCTGGTCAAGCACTTCACTTACAATGAGTATATTGTTAGGATTATGGACACCTAGAAAATAAACAACAAACAATCACACACACAACCGAGACACAAATATTTACATGGTTCGGTCCAATGCTTACGTCCATGGAATAAAGACGAGAAGTTCACTAAAGCAGTGCAATACAAAAATAGAGAAGGAGAAACACTCGCTCAACTCACAGCTATATATCTCTCAAATATTCGATGATACGATTCACCCTCTTTCTCCTGTCTCTATTTATACACACACACACACAGAGAGATACAAACCCACCAAAATTTTTACCTTCTTTTGGTAAGAGTCAACAATGGCAAGAACGTGAAGAGAAGAGAGAGATGCCCAGCTCAGACTTCCTTTACTTGTGTTAGAAGTCTTCATACGCCATCCCCTGCATGCATGTGGGTTGGTGCTAATAATTCTCCCCCTCTATACCCACATACATGATTTACTTCTCACTTGAAGTCCGTCCCTGCAATGTCTCTGCAAATTTCGAGCTTGTCTCTCGAGACCACCTTTGTAAGCATGTCAAATAGATTCTTATCTGTATGGATTTTGATTAGTTCCAATAACTACTTGTCCATCACTTCGCGTATCCAATGATACCGAACATCAATGTGCTTTGTGCGAGAATGGTACATAGAATTTTTGCTCAGGTCTATGGCACTATGGCTATCACAATGTACCTTGAACTTTTCTTGCTTTAGTCCCAATTCTTGGAGAATTTCTGTTTTGGTAATATACTCTGCCTCGGTTATGGATAAAGCAACACACTTCTGCAGCTTGGACTGCCAAGACTCAGCTCCCTCTACGAAAGCGAATATAAATCTTGATGCAGATTCCCTACCATCAAGATCTCCCGCCATATCTGAATTTGTATAGCCTTCCAAGATTGGTTTTGCTCCTCCAAAGCACAGACACATTTTGGGTGTACCCTTAAGGTACTTCATAATCCACTTCACTGCTTCCCAATGCTCTTTCAGATTGGAAAGGAATCTGCTTACTACTCCAACAGCGTGAGCAATATTTGGTCGGGTGGACACCATTGCATACATTAAAATCCCTACGGCGGATGAGTAGGAAATAGCCTCCATCTCTTCTCTTTCTTTTGTAG